CATCAAGGTTTGAGCATTAATCACCACGCTTGCTCAATGCGGCTTTGCGATTTCAGACTTATAATTCAAATTTAATGGGGAGCAAATTACTCCTCTTAATGGGTTTAAAAAAAAATCTCAGTAGTAGCACGGAGCATGGAATTGTGCCCGGTAAATGGTAATAGGCTCACCCCCTATTACATGGGACTCATACCATAGATAGTGAAAAGTGGGTGTTACAATGTACAGTGGCATTAAGTGCCTTAACTCGTCGAGTACCGGTTTTATAGACACAATTAAAGAACAATAGGTCGCGGTCACCGGTGACCGCTTGGTGTTTGACAGTTTAATGCGCACCTCTGCCTACCCCCTCTGGGATAAAAATGGGTGATATTATGTGTGCAAATCATTTGTCACGAGGGTTCATTTCATCAAAGGATTACTTGGACCCAAATATCAAGTTGGTTTTTAAAATTTTCTCTATAGTTGTTTACTATACAACTATACCGTATTGTGGTAGCCTGTGGCCTATCTATTATCAATTAATTTATTGCCCTAATAACTATTAAATGATCATTATAAAATATCAACTCAATTAATTGGAGTAGGTGCCTATGTTGATAACTTTATAAACTCGGTAAGGCCTACAGCCTGATAAAATAACTTGCGTCAAAACTTATCTCTTCTTTACTTAGGAACTGTTATCAATATCCATCTTCAAATATTTATAATTGTACTTTCTTTAAGTCTTACTGGTCCACTTGTAGCTACGAACTGTGAAGAAATTATTTATTTTTCATTCAAGTAAGTAGGTTCGTTACTTAGGTACCAATTCGACTGGAAACTAGGGTAACGAAGATATCTAAACAAATACCATGTTTAGACACCCAGCTAATGATGTTTTTGCATAAATTCCTCGAGTTTTAAATACTTGTATTACCTTATCTAAAAAAATATATACCAGTACCTATTATAAGTAACGAAATAAGTCTTTTAATTAAACCGTACCTATCTAACATGTATTATTATGTTTTTCAATTTTGCATAATACGCTTAACTGATACACGGAAATGAATGAAACTTCTATTTATATTGGAACAGGTTGCACAGATCGTGATCACAAGCAGTTTGGTCTAATTATACCTACACTTTATACTTAATTGAATAATAATATTAAGTTCAATAAAGTGAATGGAGTTTTGATAGTCTGCGATCTGCTGTGCACAAGTCCGTCTACAATTTAAATATTTACTCGTTCATAAAATCACCTCCGTTATCGTAGAAACGTAGCATTAGGCAGAATTAGCGAACATTACGCAAATAAGTTCTGAGAGTTGAATGTTTAATATACCTACTGGAAATGTTAAACATATATTAGAAGACTGACAAACAAATGAACTGCCACTTGCCCACTGTTTGTGTCTGGTAAACGTTACTAATCATTACTGCCTTGTCAATCATTTGTTATGATAACTACCTAACAGCCGTTAAATTATCTACTGACGGTTACTGAAACGAAATTCTTTTGTTCGTATTTGCTTTACGTCAGTACTTGTTCAGCTATCGATACTTTTTATCTCGCTCGCTCCAAAATTAGTATTCAGTTGTATTAAGTCATCATTTTCATTTCCACTCCTCGTAAAACGTAATACAAAATATTTGTTTGTAAATTGTAGGTACGCCAATTTAGAATTGAGGTTGTTCCCCAGCGCCCACGCATATCCGCGTCGATTGCAAAGTTTGTTAGTGCTTTATGGCGTCCAAAAAATGTCTTTTTACTTTAAATAACACTGAGGAAATTCGGACGAAATAAAACGTAATAAAATTAAGAATGGTTCTGTAACTAGTTTAAACTTGGCTCTCGCAGTTTGCTTTACTTACTTTACAAATTACCTTCTTCAGTCATACTACAAATAAAGGCGTATGTGATATCTATGTTTGCGTTACCTGCCATGGAACTGATTACAGCAACTAAATCCAGAGTACTGTGATTGTGCAAACTAAAATGATGAAGTAGATTTTGAAGATAAACATCATAAATATTTTTAAGTCTAGATTTACCTGTAACATCTAACTGCATACGTAACTCATAAATAGGTTTCTCCCTCCCTCTCTCTTTTTCTCTGGCTATCCCTATTACATAGTAGTGACGTCATCGGTAGATTTCATTGTCGAATGAAACTGATATGCGCATTTACCTTTTCCGCGTAATGTTTAGGAAGTTTATTTACAAATCTAAAATCATCTCACTGAGAGAATAATAGCAGTTATCATAAAAACCGAATGGCAATAGGCGTCAATAGTCTACAAAAACCATTGGCCTCGCCACTGACCGCGAACTGCAAACATTAATTCCTGCTTCATTGAATGGGAACGATCTGATGACTGTTTTTTACGCAGAACTTGCTTTTAAATGTGATTGTCTTTAGATAAAGCCTATTGGCCTATAATTTAAACTTCATTCAGCTCATGACTATACTCCTTTGTTTATTATTATTAAATAGTTTAATATAATTCAATTCCGTGTAGTGCTTTATGAAATTGTGTATTTCGTTTATTCTTGGTCCCAAGCAAGGCATTCGATTTGGAGGCGTTTCTCTAAATATTGTTGTTCTTTGCGCACACGTGAGTTGGTATGAGCAAATCATTAGCAATAACAAAAACATTTGAAGTGGGTGCTTGTAAAACAATCGGTTCTTTGAAGAGGGTTTAAAGTACTCCAAATATCGATACTATAATGACTACGACGTCAATAACTCAGAGAACTGTTAATTACCCATTTATAAATGTTCCATTCAAGCATTTCATTTAATGATGATGTCATCACTATTAACAATGTTTCGTTATTTGTTCAGAGATGTTCCATAATTATCGTGTTATAATCTGTTTTAAATTCTACATCTATCTTTGACATAAAACGACTACTATCTATGCAACTTACGACGTTAGTCATCAAACTTTCTTTTAACGTCTCCCTTTCCATAATGTATATCTTCATCCATCTTGTTAACGGCTGTTGACATCTCAAAAATTTGAAGAACTACATAATAGAGGTAGTTAACTATCATCAGCCGTCTATCGGCAACCGAAAAAAACATTAATCTGAGCTTTGTCTAACAATTGTTTCCTTCAGCCCTCCCTTCATATTTCTCCAACAATCTACCTATATTTCCAGCTATTCAATCATCAGTTCGCATCTCAACTGCAATCATTCAATTAAGGAGGTACAGTTTTCCATCTTACGTCATGCCTTGAATGTCAAGTTCACCACAATTTCTCAACAATGTTTTGGTGTTGCCTGATTTCATTAGTTATGGGTTCATGTTGTCGATTTAAATGAGATTTTACCTACGGTTCGTTGTGTAACTAATTGAATTTCAGACACAAGCTAAAGGCATCTTCTAGTAATGATATGTCTACCTATTAATAGTCTGCGGTATTTTTTTCTGAGTCATCGATTCTATAATTCATGTATGGATGTAGTAATTAGCTTGGTGTCTCGGTCTCGGTGCTCTACAGCATGGTCTCTCGTATTATCTGATGAGATATACAAAACAAATTTCTACTGATATTTTCTAAATTGTATTAAATTATTGGCTTTACATAGAAAACGAGTACCTACATAAACTCTCACAAGTAATTGCGTTCACCAGCAGAGAAACGACTGTTTGTTTTACAAATTCAGAGTGTGTTGTTAATGGAAAAGGTACATCACACACAGACTCCATATATTCCTACCTATACTCATGATCTTAATTAGAACCATTTATTACTGACGAAACTGTTTGCTTTTAAAAACTTCTTGCACGCCTGAGTACGCGTATCGAATCTAACGTTACGCTTAGTGGACACAACTCGTTCATGATTTAATTTATTAAAAAAAGTGGCGCACTCTACCCGGCGTAATTGGTGCAATGAGTCACTTTACTCGATTCTAGTGCAATTATTTAGCGAGTGCTGGTGTCCTATTTCATTGAATAGGGCGTGCAACAGATCACCTGTTGATAAGCAATCGACGGCACCCATGGACGCAACAAGAGAAGTTCGTTGCCAGTCTTTTGGGCAATGCGGATATAAAAATTGGGGATGGAATGTAAACTGCAGTGATATCACTTCGGTCAAACCAGCTAATGGCGAAGCATAGCTCTCCCATGTCAAGAACCTGATCAAATGCAACGAGAAAAAATCAACTTAGAAAATGTATTAAGTGTGTAAACTCTGTAGCCCAGTAAAATATTAATATTAAAATAAATTGTATTTATTCTATAACAGCACGATTTAAAATCCATGCAGTTGTAATTCCTAACAATACGTTTACAAAGTAACAATTGCTGCCAGTGCCACCAACATTGTGCGACTTTTATCCCGTATTTAGCCAGCCACTCTTTTTGGAATACAAAGCACGCGCCGATTCAACCGCTAACAATGTAACTAATGTGTTCGGATCCCTATATAGAGAACACGATCATTGTTAAACAACTAAACTAAATATTGCTGTTCCATAAGTAGCTTATAGCGAAGCAATGTCGTTTCTCTCAATTCCCACGTTACCGATAAATTGCAATAAGTAATCGTAAGTCAACCTTGCGACGTTGAGTGATAATACGTTGAAGTTGCCCCCATTTCAATCAGTGGCCGCGAAAACAAATTGCCGACGTTAGCCCTATTGTACTACTGTATCTGCAGTTACTACGACAGGTGTCAGATATGACCTGATATTGTAATATGAGATCTACAATACCTAAAGGTTTGCCGGCTCGTAAGCTACACATACCTTCGGCAGGTATTCGGACTATTTTGATAAATAATGCGCATTGACCGGATCAAATTAATTCATGCTAAGAAATTCTTTAGCGATAAGTCGCGCTTGACGGTTCATGTTTTCTACACCTTTTTAACTTGCAATGTAAATATGTAATGTTAAATGTTTCTATTGAATCGTTGGAGGGACTTACAAGACTTTATTTTAAGTATGTTTTTATTTGTTTGCAGAATCAAGCGGGACATAATAGACCACCAATATGGGGGCCATGTTCCGCAGCGAAGAGATGGCCTTGTGCCAGCTCTTCATCCAGCCTGAGGCGGCATACACATCCGTCTCTGAGTTGGGAGAAGCCGGCAGTGTGCAGTTTAGAGATGTAAGTATTGTAAAACAAATTAACCCTAAAATGTAGTACTGAGATAAAATGAACACCAGAATCGACTACTCTTGTCAAAAATAGTCAAAATAATGGTGAACTTCTCATTAAAGTCGTTATCAATAAGATGTTAGGACAGTTATGGTATAATTTCATTGAAATGGCAGTATAAAACCTATTATGAATTCACTCACTGTGTGTTATTTCCTCTGGACTCTTTATCTACGAGGTAAATAATGGCATCTATTGTTCAGCAGTAGTAAAACCGATACTGAATTAACCACGACAGAAAAAAATATAAAAATACATTTGTAACTCGTCTACTGCCATCGCCTTGTCTGTTCCAATTCGAAACGAGTTACAAAATTGATTAAAAATGTGCATAAATATTCATAAGGTTGAAATGGCAAAAAATAAAACTGCTATTGCAAACATCCTTTCGTACTTACTTGGCACCCAGTAATCTGTCAAGATGAATAATTATGAATAAAAAGTATAGTTGCATAATCATCCGAAAGTTGTGAGCGTGACGAGTTAGTTTGGCTTGATCGACCAGTGGGGCGCGGTGGGAAGGTTAGCAAGCCCGGGCTGGCAATCCGGGGCCTTCAAGCCATTACGAAGGTGGTCCCACAAGGTCCCTTGTACCTCGCGGCGAATCAACGCACACGCATAAATTAACCAGTGCATTCGTCAGCTCTTGTAAATTGTACCAGTCATTATTTTCCTTATTTTACTAGTATTATTTCTGCCGTTGATAACGAATAAATGGCGTTTATCATTGCTGTTTTTTTTTTTAAATAAAATATACCTATCTAAGAATACTTAAGACGCCACATTTGCATAAATATACATAAACAAGTAATAAAGTAAAAATAGATTATGCCTAGGTACAATAACAATCTTGTCATTCTACTTTTTTCTGTTAACGATTACTAAGAATCTTTCTTTGAGTACCTCGAGTCTATGATAAGTGGACTGGTGGAACCCACAGATGTAATAAATAATCTTGAACTGGCCAGTATTTATTCATATTCATATTTAAACAACCGACATACCTAAGTACTTAATGGACATAAATCAGCTACAAAACCGATTTATGAATGACATATCGTTATCCACACCGATTTGTCTAAATAATAAAAGTCATTATAATATTTCTTAGTAGTTCAAAGACTTCTTGCGATCATCATTAAAGGGTCGTGCGTGTGTCGTGTACCATGATGAGTTACAGTAGAATTTTATCCGGAAAATAAACACAGCTTCAACTAAATATAAACAGGCATCCAATGACAATAACAGGAAAACTAAAGGCTGAATTATTTGCACTATAAACAATCAATTCTCTTTATAACAATCGTAATAAAGAAGCAATCAAAATTAACAGGTATATCTCTGTTATAGTTTCTTAGAGGGGTAATAAAAATGTCCACTGAAGTACTGACTCAATAAGCCATGCGTAAGGATGCAATCATTAGCTCCTAAGGTTAGGCCTCCCGTCAGACCGGTTTCCGTCCACACGTGATTTACGCCACAATGGTTTTATTGTAATAGGATTCACATAAAAACATGGGATGAAGGTACTTAATACACTATACTATGTAATGAATACTTCTTAATAGACGTTGTCTAATTTCGTTGTGTAGCTAGGCTAGGTATACCGTTAGTTAGGGTATAAAACTCATCTATCTTGGTTCAGTCATTTAGGACAAACACACACGTTGAACTAGAACACTTCATTGATTATAAAATTCTGACAAAAATGAATCTTAATCCACAGACTTTGGATTGAAATTGGCAGTTAGACTATATGTGTTTCACGGGGTTGAGTGATCACATGGACAATAGTCGAAATGTGGACAATGTTAACATATTATTATGTACTTCTGCCAGTTCTACCTACGCCGTTCGAGGATATACAGACGTGATGTTACGTTAATTATTAGCACTTACATAAAGTGAGAAATGTTGCCCAGTTTTCATTATGTTTTACAATGTTAGGGAAGACAATCGATTTCTTAATGTGTTTTGCTAATTACAGTTTTTATTGAAAAGAAATAATGTACCTTAATTAGTTTAACGTAGACACATTGTAACTGGTATTTACTAACTTAAACAATTCGAATACATAATGTATGAAATAATAATGTCACAAAATGTCGCCTTTTCCCGAAGAGATAGAAAAATGCAATGCAACATACAAAAACTTTCAACTGACTGTAGACTAGTGTAGACTTACCTAATTAGTTAAAAGGAAACCGCATAGTCAATAGCTACTGAGGGTTAAACCAAACCAATCGCAAAAATTAATAGAACTAAACAATAATTGAAATTAAATAATCAAACTTCAATGGAACGGGTTGGGGCCCACGCTCTTCGCATTACTTTGATCTACTTCAAACATTACAATGAAAGACAGCGCGTGAGAGCAAGAAGGCCTTCCACTGCCATTTTCTATAAACGACCTTTGTAGTTCTATGCTAACATTAATTAACATAACATGGTTAATGTAATTACCTGTAGATTGTTATTTAAATAGTACATTACGTCTGGACCTGTATGTAGTTCTATTGGGATGTGTACCTACTACATACCTATGTGTAATAACTGGTGTTAACTGGTCTATTTTAAAGGACCCGGTAGCACGGTACTGCCTTAAACATGAGGTTACTGTTAGTAACTACCGGGGTATTAGCGCGCGCCTCAAACAGCCATCAGACCACCACGGATGGAGCCCAATAGGGCTGATGCCGATGCTGAGAACGTAAAAGGTTACCGGCTCCGGGCTCCTACGGCTCGAAGTGCAGAAGTAGGAACGGGGTGGTTTTTAGTCAGAGTCTGATACTCCCTCTTGCCTCCCCCAGGCGGGAAAAGTCATTCGATGAGTTTCCCTCCTTAAAAGAAACCGGGGTAGTTTTGATAAAGTAAGAATCGAACATTCTATCATTTCATTTCTTTTCTAAAGTGCCTTTTGATTAATTTTCCCACAGATATAATAAAGAATATTTGTATGAATTTTCCCGTTACTCAAAAAGGCCTTTTTATTCCGTCTGTGTAGTACAACTCCAGACTGCGCGTGCTTACTAATTCTGGGAATTTACTCTTACACAACCTACACTGTTAACAAGGCAGTACCTACACAACCTCACGAATAACGCTTTTATTGCTTAAGGATAAATAGTCAGCTAGGTACTAGGTACCTACTACGTACGTAGGCCCATTAATGAACAGTACCATATACCGTATGCAAATACTATCAATAGTTCATATCGAATATGTACGTACCTCAAGTACATTAGAAGCTAGCTGAATACGTAAAATAAAAAACTAGATCTTGCCGAGTCTATAATAGTTTCCTATGAATGTAAACTGCTTAGGAAAATACTATAACAATTACCCACCTAATTTGCTTGCAGCGTTGTATTTAGTCATGTACGGTTACGTCATGAACACAATTTTGCACAAAGTCGAACTCGTTTTGCATAACATGAAACGGTTTTCAAAGAAGTGTATTTTTGATTTTCATATGAATGCGATATTTTCGTCAACATCTGTGGTTTGTAAGGAATTTCAAAATTATTTCAGATTTGTTTGACTTTTGACAGATTTAGTTGCGAAGATGACTTGAAACACGAGCCCAAATCTGGATTTCTAATCCTGTGTTTATTTTTATTATAAAAATATTGTTTATTTTCGTACCTACTTAAAACTCAGCAGGAACCATTTAAATCATTAAAATAATCACCATAATAAGTAGGTCTGCTTCGACTACTGCCGGATACGAGCACTCGAGAAACTATTGCTTTAAGTCGCCGAACATTCAGTCTAATTGCTAATTAGACACAATTGCCGCTGACATATGCATGGCAATCTATTCTAATTGACAATTGACACAAGCAATCTTGACTAGCGCAAACTAATTTCATTTACAATTTTATTTAACGTTTCATCAAAAGGCTGGCAACACAGTCCTAGCTCGTTTGGTATTGCAAGTGTCGGCGGCGTCGATTGCTTACTATTAAGTGATCCATCTGAAGGAAAAATTGGACTTATCATTATCTAATTAGAGGTATAAGTTTGAAATCGCCAACTCACCTTGTTATGATTAATGCTCACACCTTCTCCGAATGAGAAGAACCTTTGCTCAGTACTAGGCACTATAGGCTGTTGATGTTGAAGTGGTGTGCCCGGTCGTTACCCGCCCTTTGCAACAAAAAACATACACAACCTTAAATAATACATCTATGATGTATTTTAATGAAACATATAATAACCAAGGCATTTTTTTGCTTCCAGCTTAACCCAGACGTGAACGCGTTCCAGCGTAAATTCGTAAATGAAGTGCGTCGCTGCGATGAAATGGAACGCAAGCTTCGATACATCGAGGCTGAAGTACATAAGGATGGAGTGCACATACCTGCCGTCAAAGAGGCCCCCAGAGCCCCCAACCCGAGGGAAATCATCGATCTTGAGGTGAGAAAACTATTCCTTAAAAATATGTAAAATTGGACCCGGGTATGTCCTAAAACTATTCATTGGTAAGGGTATTGTCCTCTAAAATTCAGATGAAAATTGTTAACCGTGGAGATAAAAAGGGAGATTTTTGTCATCAATGTGAGTATTCTGCTGTTAATAATGATGGCTGTAATAAATGATTACTGAGAAGATGACAAAGACACTTAAAGGTTCTTAAATTGTACTTCGATACTTCTTTTATATTAAATTATTATGCGATGGACTTAAATAAACAAGGTAAAATTATTTACATAATAAGCAGGATAGGAGACACAGTACTAAGATAAAGATATTGAATAAATAAAGAGGTCTTTCACCCGTTCTGAATACCAACATCTATGGTAATTTGATAAATACAATTCTATGTCATAGCAGTAAGATTCGTTTTTGTATGATTTGTTAGAATAGTGTCACAGAAATGTCTTTTGGGCCTAATTTGGTGCAATAAGTAATGTGTTTAAACAGGTGTCATATTAAATTATATCGAGGTTACTGTCTGTTTGTCTGTTGTATTCAGTCTTGGACCCTGGGCCCTTCCCCCAATCCCATGGGTTATGGGCAGAGATAATAGCTCGCTACTCTCACTTCCTGCATCACATTTCGTACAACAAAGAGTTGTCCTAAATAAAATTAAGTACACAATGACATTGGTTTGGATTTCCAACTTTTGACAAAAATTGGGTCATACTGTTTTTGAAAACGAGCCATCTTAAACACGTATTAGAGCATATATACAGTAAAATTCGTTTATCCTTACTAATATTATAAATCTGAAAGTGTGTTTGTTTGTTTGTTTGTTTGTTCCACCTTCACGCCATAACTACTCAACCGATTGCTTTGAATTTTTGCAGACGTAAAGTTAGAAGTCCGGATTAAATAATAGGGTACTTTTTAACCCGGAAAAAGTTGATATTCCCGAGGAAAAACAAAAGTATTGGTATAGATGGCGCTGTGTGTATTGGTATATGTCACATAGGCTACTTTTTATTCTTTTGTGACGCGAGCGAAGCCGCGGGTAAAAGCTAGTACAAAATAAGTGACGTTTGGGGTCTCCGGGAGCTTAGACTAGTATTCTCGTTTTCAGTTCAGAGGCCTTAGTACGAGTTTCATTTCCTTTTAAAGTATTCGTTACGAGTACGCGTTCGGCACTCTGATTGGCCGGCGCCAATGAACCAACCAATCAGAGCGCCGAACGCGTACTCGCAGTTAAAAGTGAAAATGTTATGTATTGTCACCAAACTCCTAGCTAAAAATAATACCAAGGAATAACAGCTATAATTTTTATATTTGTTTTTAATCCTTAGGCCCACTTAGAGAAGACAGAGAACGAAATTCTAGAGCTGTCGCACAACGCGGTCAACTTGAAGCAGAACTATTTGGAGCTGACAGAACTCCGTCATGTGCTGGAGAAGACCGAGGCATTCTTCATCGCGCAGGAGGAGATCGGCATGGACTCCATGACCAAGTAAGTAGTACTTGCGTAACTTAGGTATTACTTTATTGCACACACAGAAAAACATGTTTAGTTGTTTTTAAAAATGTTTAATTTAATGTGTTAGCTATGATCTGTGTTTCATTTATTTAAACTGTCAAACACCAAGCGGTCACCGGTGACCGCGACCTATTGTTCTTTAATTGTGTCTATAAAACCGGTACTCGACGAGTTAATCCTCTATCATCAGGCGACTATGGCTCTTAAATATATACCGTAAAGAGTTTCATTATATATTTTCTTCCTGTATCGTGACTGCAAATATAAACGAAACACCATTCGTGTACCCACGAAAAGTTGTAAAGTAATTCGTTGTGGGTAGTCCTACAGATATTCTATTAGTGTATTGGCGTCGCCATTGACATTGATTGAGCTACCAGCTACTGCGCATGTTGTCGCGGATTCGATTCCTCTGATAACTTTTCACAAATTGTTAAGTGTTTCAATTTCTATGTTTGTATGTGAACTGAGGATACAGGAGACATGCCTAATATAGGAGCATGTTAAAAATAATCTCATCATCATCATCATCAACAGCCTATAAATGCCCACTGCTGAGCAAAGCCTCTTCTCACACGGAGAAGGTTAGAGCATTAATCACCACGCTTGCTCAATGCGGGTTGGCGATTTCAAACTTATAATTAGAAATTATAAGTCCAGGTATCCTCACGATGTTTTTCCTTCACCGTTTGTCAGTGGTGTCTAAATAATCTTAGAAAGTACATATAACTCGGAAAAAGTCAGATTGGTACTTGCCGTTGGTAGGTTTCGAACCCGCACCCTCATGCATGAGAACTGGGCGTCTTAAACCTCCGGGCCACCACGACACTTTGTTTACCATCAGGAATTGAAGATCCTGGTGTTGCTATTTTTTTTTAAATAATCTAAAATGAATCTATTTTCCTAGGTCGCTGATATCAGACGAGACAGGTCAACAAGCGGCGACGCGTGGTCGCCTGGGCTTCGTGGCAGGAGTCGTGAATCGCGAGAGAGTGCCCGCCTTCGAACGTATGTTGTGGCGTATCTCCAGGGGTAACGTCTTCCTCAGGCGCGCAGAACTTGACAAGCCATTGGAGGACCCCGCCACGGTTAGTGTTTTCTGCAATAAAGTTGATATTTGCTTGCTGGAATTTTGATGAAAATGGCTTTTAATAAACACTCTTTTCGAAATAGCAAATGTGTTGTGTTATCTTCTATCTATACTTTTTTATAATAGAAATAGCTCAAATTAATTACTGACAATAAGCATTTTAAATATCTGACTGCACGGCTGGTGCGGTGGCTGGGGCACTGACTGCAGCGCAACGTGTCGTGGGTTCGATTCCCGCACGGAACAACTCTGTGTAATCCACAGATTGTTATTCCGGGTCTGGATGTCATGTGTATGTGAACTTGTATGTTTATAAAAGCAACCACGGCACGGGAGAAAATAGTGTGAGGAAAAGTTTTTTTAAAAGAAAAAAAGATATATAGGATTTATGTTGAAACTTAAATAATGTAACTGGGCAGTAATATTGTTATACTAAACAATGTATGGGCCACAATACTCTTGCAATGTAATGAACATCTAACAAATGTTAACAATACTATAATCCATCGTTATTGAAACTTATTGTCAACTGAACTTGTTTGTTTGAACACAACAAAATCAATATTGGACATTGCATTGGAATCAGAACGAAAACCATTCTACCGATAACTATACAAAACATACCTACAATGTTTTGTTTGTTAATATTATGTGTTTTATTCGTATTAGTATAGAGTTCATAGTAATTAGATATGCAATGCGTTAAAGAACATCAATAGTGGTTTTTAACCAGTGACACAATAGTTGTAACTGGGATCATAACTGTTTTTCAAATGAACTCGACTGATTTCAAGCCACACTAGGGGCTCATATTTGTGAAGCTTGACACTAATCGAGTTACTTTGTCAAATAGTTATAAGAGTTAAGCTTATATATTTAAAAAAAAAAACGCATTTAATACAACGTTTTTTAAAGAAAACCAATTCTTCCTTAGTATTGCTGGTTATAAACGGACTCCCGATTAACGTTGACGATGGAGCAAATGTCTAACAATAAATATGTACATTTTTAAGCCTTTGACTGCCAATAAAAAACTGTTGAAGGTAAATCCTCCGCTAACGTCGGTCACCCGGGACCCCCGTGGCGTTTAACGTGTTAATAAATAATACTCATTTGTGATACCATTACCCACAGGGTAATGAGATCTACAAGACGGTGTTCGTGGCATTCTTCCAAGGAGAGCAACTGAAGTCTCGTATCAAGAAGGTGTGCTCTGGGTTCCACGCGTCGCTGTACCCCTGCCCACCCTCCAACACTGAGAGGCAGGACATGGTCAAGGGAGTTCGCACAAGACTTGAAGATCTTAACATGGTATGTATTTTGGCATTTATTTCACTTACAAGTTTTTAAAAGTACGATCTATGTTTGAAGACAAAAAGTAAAATAAACACAAACAATACCAGTTTACACACGTGAAGTAATGGGGCCTAGCGTATTTTAGTCACCAGATGGTGCTGGTGTGCCTCTCGTTTATCGTCCAATAGGGTATTAGCTAGTGTCACCGCCATTGGACGTTCGACATTTGACAATTGCTGTGATTGGACTAAAAGTCTCATCCTACAGTTGTGGCGTCTGATGACCAAAAATACGGTAGCCCCAATTGAGAAAAGCTCTACTAGTTTCAAGTTACAACGGGATCCTTATTCATGAGCAACGTGAGCACGCTGCATACCTAGTTGGTTTAAACAGATCTAGATGAAAATTCCGTTGACTACTCACACAAAACTTAGTGATTTTTCTTCAGTTCTTTGGAAGTTTGGAACACAATTATACATATTCCATTTAAAATTCGTAGGTGCTGAACCAAACCAGCGACCACAGGCAGAGAGTACTAGCCAGCGTGGCGAAGGAACTGGCCAGCTGGACTATCATGGTTCGCAAGATGAAAGCCATCTACCATACTCTGAACCTCTTCAACATGGACGTCACCAAGAAGTGCCTCATCGGCGAGTGCTGGGTGCCCACCCAGGACCTGCCCAATGTTCAGAAGGCCTTGGCTGACGGATCTGTAAGTAGTATATAGAAAAGTTTAAAATAATTATTAAATATTGTTGTCGTTATAAAATGTCAAACTCATGAGTTTTGTTTAATATCTACAGTAGTATAGACTGCCTTGTTGCCCGAGTGATCGCAATTACGACTGCCGCGCAAGGGGTCTCGGGTTCGATTCCCGGGTCGAGCAAAGTATTACTGGGTTTTTAAGAAAAATCTTAGTAGTACCACGGAGTCTGGAATTGTGCATGACTATGACTACATGGGACTCATAACATAAATAGTGAAAAGTGGGTGTTGCATTGTACAGTGGCATAATGTACACCTTTGCCTAACCGTTCGGGGATAAAAGGCGTGATGTTATGTTATGTTATAGAATGCATGGTTGGCGCAAAGGGTGATCGCTGCTGTTTAATGTTTTGTATTATGTTGCGAATCCAGTTCTATACGAAACAGTTCATTGTGTGATCCATAAATTGATATACCTGACCCAAGTGTGACATTATATAAAACACCAAATAAGACAATATAGCTATCGTAATATTATTTCACATGATTAAATGTTTTTTTTTAAGCATGAAAGAAGAATAAGCTAGAATTTTAGCTATAGGTACACTATAATACTCTCCGTCTCAAGGGAATTAAATGCAGTACACAAAAGAAATGAAAAAACAATTAACAATAGTAAAAAGATACAAAAAGTGCACTATTACACCGTAATAGTTATATTTAAAAAAAACATCAAACCGTTAAAATACTTGAAAGATACCGTTTCTCCCATAGAACGCTTGCGGCAGTTCTATCCCATCATTCCTGAACTGTATCGAGACGGACGAGGAGCCGCCGACCTTCAACCGCACCAACCGCTTCACTCGCGGCTTCCAGAACCTCATCGACTCGTACGGAGTCGCCTCCTACAGGGAATGCAACCCTGGTAACTATTACTTTTAATTATATTTTTCTATTGGAGAGTCCGTCAACCGATTTGAAGGATAACCTGATGGTAAGCAATTGTCGCAACACCAGAGAAGTGCGTTGCCAGCCTTTTAGACGTTGAAGAATTAGGGATTTGGGACGCTCCTCTTCTCCCTTATCTTCAAATCACCAATCCGGAGATCCTTTCTTCCAGACAGAAGGCTTTTGGTAACCTCACATGGCGTAACACAACGCAAGTGTGGTTAGACGCTGGTTTCTATGAGGCCCCAAAGAGCCATCAGACCACCACGGATGGGGCCCAATAGGGCTGATGCCGATTCAGAGTCGTGGAGAACCTAACGGGTAACCGGGGCTCCGGCTCGAAGTGCAGGAGAAGGAACGGGGTGGTTTTTAGTCAGTAAGAGCCTGACACTTCCTCCCGCCTCACCTAGGCGGAAGCAGTCATTCGATGATTTCCCTTTGATCTGATTTTCAACTAATTTGCAACCAAATGTAAGACAATCAATAATTTGAAACTATATTTTCTCTTTCCTAGCGTTGTACACGACCATAACCTTCCCGTTCCTGTTCGCGGTGATGTTCGGAGACTTGGGCCACGGCTGTATCATGGCACTGTTCGGAGCTTGGATGGTCTGCAAGGAAGTCTCCCTCGGCGCCAAGAAGTCCAACAACGAAATCTGGAACATTTTCTTCGCCGGTCGTTACATCATTCTTCTCATGGGTTGCTTTTCAATGTATACTGGATTGGTCTATAACGATATCTTCTCGAAGTCCATGAACATCTTCGGTTCGTCGTGGAGTATTCCCTATGACAATGACACTATGGAACACAATGCAGCGTTGACTTTGGACCCGAAGGAAGCTTACAATAACAATCCGTACTTCATCGGTATTGATCCTGTTTGGCAGGTGAGGATTTAATCTTTTTCACCGACTAAAATGTTATTTGCAAAGGAAAGTAGGCTTTATGTAAATACAGTTTAGGCTGATTTTTGTATGACACGCTTAGTCAGAATTTGCTTATAGGAAAAGCTCCTTAAGCATTATAGCGTTTATTCTAGATTTTATTTTCTATCAAATAATGATTAAGTCCAAGTAAATAACCAGTTGCCTAGCAAATAGGACTTTAATTAAAAAGCAATAGAATTTATATTCTTATCTCTTTTGTCTTAGTATTTACCTGATTTTTGTTCTTTCAGAGCGCTGACAACAAGATCATCTTCTTGAACTCGTACAAAATGAAGCTGTCCATTATTTTCGGTGTGTTACACATGATCTTCGGTGTCTGCATGAGTGTCGTTAACTACAAGTAAGTTGCACACAATTACTTTTAATACATTACCTGAGTATTTTAAATGGTTTACGAATAACAGTTTCATCGTTTAAACACAAGCAAAACAACTGATGGGGGAATATCAGAATCTTCTAACGTTTCCTCACGTCTCAGCCAGGGTGGGAACAGCAATTTGATGGGTTCCAAAAAGTTCCAATTTTGCACGTCCTTTGAATACCCCTAGCCACCCCTCCTGACCTTATTAGCTTGTTTGATTTTAGAACGCGCTATGTTGTATCTCAGGAACTTCAAATTCAAATGGAAAAAACCTTTTTTGTGTTGAATACTTTATGTATGCAAGAGCCTATTAAGCTTAATTACTACGACCAATAAATGACCAAGCAACGTGAAACTGCTATCAAAAGTTAGTAAGTAATAATTGCAGTATAAACCAATGAGATGACGTGTTTCCAGCTTCTTCCGTCGCCGCTATTCCATCGTGTTGGAGTTCCTGCCGCAAGTGATCTTCCTGTGTCTGCTCTTCTTGTACATGGTCTTCATGATGTTCTACAAGTGGGTCGCCTACAGCGCCTTCTCCGATGGTAAACTAACTTTTCTTATCGAAATTACTAAAGATATTTAAATAGTAATATTAACACTAAAGGGATAATCCTGTTAAGCATTTATGGGATACTTATGAAATACATAGTTGATTTGAAAAAAAATGCAGTACTTTTCATCCTTCGACGAGGTTCTTATGTTTGTGCTGTCTATCAGTAATTAATCTGTCAATAAAGTGAGACTATAGGGTGTGCGTGTATACAGACCGTGCGTACGGCGCATCGCATTTAGCGCGCGCTTCTAAGAGCCATTAGACCATCACAGATGGGGCCCAGCAACTGGGCTGGGTTGATTCCGATACGGAACCGCAGAAGGCCTAACGGGTTGCCGGGGCTCCGGTTCAAAGAGCAGAAGTAGGAACGGGGTTATTTTTTTTTTAGTCAGTAAGAGTCTGACACTCCCTCTCGCATAATCCAAGACGGGAGAATTCATTGGATGATTTTCCCATTTCAAATAAGAGGTGGTTTGGAGAGGGAGGAATTGGGTCTATAAAATACAAATACTCAAAGTATAATTTATGTTCCAGAACAAGCATACACCCCGGGTTGCGCGCCATCAGTCCTGATTCTGTTCATCAACATGATGTTGTTCTCGAGCACGCCGCCCCCCGAGGGATGCAACGAGTACATGTTCGAGGCGCAGGCCTCCATACAGAGAGTGTTTGTTCTCATCGCACTCTGCTGCATCCCCGTCATGTTACTCGGCAAGCCACTCTACCTGCTCGCTGCTGGCAAGAAGAAGAAGGAAGCCAAGGTAACTTGGATACTTAACTTTACAAATATCTACTAAATATCATTTATATTTTAAGTAAATATCTATTCAGCTCACGATAGGCTCAGGTTCTAAAGGATGTAATTATTTCTAAGGTCTGTGAATAAATGATAATATAATGTATGTATATTGATGCATCCGCACAGTTAGGCAGCTTGCTTGGCGTTTTGCAACGTCTCCTGCTAGGCTATTCTGAAACATCCAATTCAAAAGATCGCAGTGAACTCGATCACGGTCCGTAATATAAGAAATTGTGAGAATAATCTCGACCAATGATGGCCTAGAACGCAATCGAGCTCACTTCATAAGTTCGAATTGACTGTTTCAGAATTGCCTAGCTGCTAAGCTGTCTGTCTATCCGAAGCTAGAAAATATAGTATCAGACAATCACAGTGTAAGGTGCGGTGTTTATATGAAATGAAACCAGTGGATGCCCGAATAATACTGGCCTATATTTGATAGAATAACATATTATAAATGGTTACATTGGTACAAAGACAATACAAGATAGAACTTACAATAGGTATAATATATGCCTCACATCACCGCTCTTATTGAAAAAAAAAAAAAAAAGGTTTCTTTTTTTTTTTTTTTTACAAAATAATAGTGTATACACTTAGGTGGAAATATATTATTTTAGCATTATTTTTAATTAAACATAGGAATAAACATGGTAAGTACATACAAAACATAGGAATGACGTTTACATGATAGTTAAATTAAAATCAAGTTGTATTGTATGGTTTCGTACGGTTTTTATGAATAATATCTTTTTTCCCATATTTATTTATAATCTCTACGTTTGGTGGTATGTCTTTAACTACTTTGTAAGGACCAGAATAAATGCTATCTAATTTACCTAGTGTATCATTTTTAACTAAAATTAAGTCATTTTCTTTATAACTAACAGGATTAACATATTTGTCATACATTAATTTTCTATTCATCTTACTTTTTACAAGATTATTTCTTGCTTCTCTTTGAGAAAGTTGCAAACGGTATTTTAACTCATGTGGATAACTCTCGAAATTATAAAGAGGTTCTAAGTCATTGGTCAGATTACTGGGAAGAGAACATTTCTTACCGAACACCAACTCGTAGGGAGTAAATCCTGTCTCTGTATGTACGCCTGTATTGTAAGCAAAACACCAAAATGGAATCCACTTACTCCACAACTCAGGATGGTTCTCCGTTTGAATACGCAAAAACGCATTCAAATGTTTATGAGTAACTTCTAGGGCTCCAATTGATTGGTGATGGTATGCTGTAGAATTTAATTGTTCAATGTTAAGTAATGTACAAACCTTTTGAAATATTTCCGATAAAAACTCCTTACCTCGATCTGTTGCGATTACTTTTGGCACGCCGTACCTTAGAATAAAGTTATTTACAAAAGATCTTGCCACCTCATCTGCTTTTTTGGAAATTAAGGGATAGCCTTCCACATATTTCGTGAGTTCACATTGTAAAGTTAATACGTATGTAAAATTATCGTTATCTGTCTCCAAAGGACCAACAAGGTCTAAAAATATCTTTTCAAATGCAGTATTTGCAGTACTAGTAATCACCATTGGTTCTTTCTTTGGTAGTGAATACTTTTGTCGCTGACACTTATCGCAACGTTTTACGAATTCCCGTACATCGTTATCAATACCGGGCCAGAAATAGTATTTCTTTATATTGTTTGACATCCGTCTCATACCAGCATGGCCACTACTAGGTAAGAGATGGAAGTCATTTAAGATAACTTTTTTATCATCCTTATTCTCAATTCTTTTTACATCACTTAAAATACATATGCGCGGTCCGCACCTACTCTTATTATTTTTAATCTCTTCTAACAACTTTTTTATGAAAATATCATTATCTTTGTTTTTTAATATGTATATTTCTTCTATATTTAACAAAATGCAAAATTTATCAATCTCTCTCACAAACTCGTCTCGCGTCATTTGCGATTGAGAGTTTAAAAATTTCACATAAATAGTCCTTTTACTTTCAACGTAACACAATATTTTGTTTTCTTTCGTAATTATTCTTAGTTTCCTTAAGTTCTCTAATCCTTTAATATCAATAAAACTCATCTTCGAAAAATAATCTGATTTATCACTCTGACACAACAATAAACTATCCTCATATAAAGCTAAAAATTCACGACAATGATTCTGTATTAATAAAATATCTTGGCTACTATAATATTTATTCTTAACTTTATCATTAAAATCAATTAACCAAGTCTCATACTGTTGATAAATAGCATCAACTTCAATTACCTTCTTTTCCAATACTCTCTCTGTCCTTCGTTTCGGTCCTAACTTTATTAAATTTATTCTTATTTTCTTTAAATCATTATATAATGTCAAAATTATATCCATTAGGTACTTAACACCACAACTATTTCTAACTATACTAACTTAACTATTCATGTTAACTATTCATATTATAACATTAGTATTAAGTTTTATAATTAAGTACGAATGCAAACAAACGCAATTAATACCATAGTCCAAAGTTCAATTCACGTTCAGTCCGTATTTGGTAAGGCACTGCATTGTTTTAAAACTAAGATATTACGCAACTCGATTGATATAATATTTGCATATGATTATTGAAACGATTAAAACCGATTTATACTTTTCCGCACCAATACTTTTTAAGCACTTTTTTTTTTTTTTATTTTTCACTTATGGCACTTTTTTTTTACACACTTTTATGTTTCACACCATATCTTCTGAAAATGTTTTAGCCGTGTTCTCGTTGACCCCCGACTGCAAACGACGACGAAGAAAAGATCTCCTCATCATAGTGATCCGATTGATCTCATTTGTTATCCATCGTACATGGCATCTTCTATACAGCCGGTACACGAAGTATATCAGTCCAAGTAGTATAACCAACAGGATAATCGCCAGGAAAATGTTTGTTATAGACATATGAAAACGAATTTCGTCAGTTTTCGCCTCGTTACTGCCTGCAGCGTTTTGGATAACGAAGGTCTCTTCCTTAGATTGTTGTTTTCCCATGGTCGTAGATTATACGTACTCTCACGTCAAGTTCGTAATTACAATAAATCTGCACTAACTCCATTGTTACTAATAATTCGCGGTACTTAGGTGGGTACACAGTACACTCGAACGTCTCAAATTCGCGGCGCGCGTGTTGACCATCCTGGCAGGGTCGCCATGTAAGGTGCGGTGTTTATATGAAATGAAACCAGTGGATGCCCGAATAATACTGGCCTATATTTGATAGAATAACATATTATAAATGGTTACATTGGTACAAAGACAATACAAGATAGAACTTACAATAGGTATAATATATGCCTCACAACAGCCTGAATTATTCAAAAGATAAATAAAAAATTATATGTCTACTATCATTAACTATAATGTTGTTTTCTCCAGCCTGAACACTCAAACGGCAGCGTGAACCCTGGCATAGAAATGCAGGAGCAGACTGACATCGGCGACGGCGCGCCCAAACCTGAAGCTAAGCCGGCCGCCTCGGGACACGACCACGAGGACGAGCCATTCAGCGAGATCATGATCCACCAAGCCATCCACACTATTGAATACGTCCTCAGTACCATCTCTCACACAGCCTCCTACCTTCGATTGTGGGCTCTCTCGCTTGCTCACGCAGGTATAATTAATATTTACATTATTTATACAAAAATATATAGACTGCCTCGTTGGCCGAGTGGTCGCAAGCGCGACTGCCGGCCAAGGGGTCTCGGGTTCGATTCCCGGGTCGGGCAAAGTACTACTGGAAAAAAAATCTCGGTAGTAACACGGAGTCTGGAATTGTGCCCGGTATATGGCAATAGGCTCACCCCCTATTACATGGGACTCATAACATAAATAGTGAAAAGTGGGTGTTACATTGTACAGCGGCATAATGTGCACCTCTACCCCTTCGGGGATAAAAGGCGTGATGTTATGTTATGTAAATATATTTCTTTTTGGTCGCATAGGATTACAAAAGATAGAATATAGAGCTAAGTGCCCATTGAACTAATAGGACAACTCACTCATTAGCGCCTACTGGAGAAGAATAATCCAAAATTCTAATTGATTACATTCTTTTGTGTTCAACATTAAAAGGTCCATTCACACGAGAGGTTTTTTAACGTCGCGATGGCAGGTATCCAATACAATTTAGTTTTTAACGCCCAATGACGTATGAACAATATACTAGCAGATGCATTTGTTCAATTTAAAGGCTGTTTTAACACGTATTAGAAAATACTCGTGCGAATGGAGGCTAAGAGTTATAGGGATTAATTAATATACTTTTGACGATACTATAAATTTAATATGTTTGCTTATTCCACAGAACTGTCGGAGGTGCTGTGGAACATGGTGTTGACGTTCGGTCTGAAGGACCACGACTACATCGGCGGCATCAAGCTGTACGTGGCCTTCTGCTTCTGGGCGCTGTTCACACTCGCCATCCTCGTCATGATGGAGGGACTCTCCGCCTTCCTTCACACACTGCGTTTGCACTGGTAATCATCTTATTACTAGTATAATTTTCTATCAAACATCTCTACTAATATCTTTTCTATCAAAGATATATAAGGTATATAAGCCCCGTTAATGGCTTGAAATTAGTCGAGTAATCTCAATACTTTTTAAGACTTATCTAATGGGTGTTCAATAAAAATTGCACTTCTAAAAACTCATTGTCGGCATTTGAATGTATATTAATTCCTTTAACATTATTATGTAAAATTGCGTAACTTAACACTAATAAAACCTCTTTTCTTTACCCAGGGTGGAGTTTATGAGCAAGTTCTACTCGGGTCTGGGTTACATCTTCCAGCCATTCTGCTTCAAGACCATCTTAGAACAAGAAGAAAACAAAGACGATTAACCAATCAAAGGTTATCATGTAGCGTAGATACAGAACAGTATTTTTTGATTAATGTTTCATTAAAATAAAATAATTGCAAAATAAATGTCACAACTGAGTGAATTGAATTGAAATAAAATATATTTATGCATGTTACACTGTTTTTTATTGTACTTAAGCTTTATTTTACAACGTTATTCTTATTGAAAGTCGATACAAATGCAATAAACGATAACTATGATAATTTCCAGTAAGTAAAGAAAATTAACATTTTCGTTCTTAAAGAACTGCAATGGACGGATGACACAAGTTAAATATAGACCAAAGACAGAAACAATTTGGTTTGGGCTGATTTTCAATCGATAGATAAACTTTTATTAGTGGAATAAAATTGACATCGTGACAGTTTTTATATAGAACACATGTTTAAAATTCAAAATTGCTCATCTAAATCATATATATCTGGCGTTGAAAAAACAACCCTAAATGCATTTACATTAAGTACAATACATTACTGATAAACAATTAGATTTTTGTTTAGTTCCTTTTAAGTTCTCAAATTAGTTTTAGCTTTTTCTAATATTTCTTTTTTTATTTTTGGATAATCTGGGTGTACTTTTAGTATATGCCGACAGACAACGATACATTCTGGGTACTTTTTCAGTTTGAGGTAAGCGTGAGCTAGTTTGTATCCAACGGCAAGATCGCTCTTCCCACCGTGAGTCCACGCATTGTTGTAGTTATGGGCAGCGCTCTTGTAATTCTGATCTTTTTCTGCCAAGTAACCTGAAATATAGAAAATACAATGAAAAATCGTAACATCTATTACTTAATCTTTTATTGTCTGATGAATGCATATGGAATTTCACGTTTCGACCGATATTATAAGCTAGCTTAGCCCAGCCAAAGCCCAGTGTGTAGGTATGGCACAAATATGGACTTCGAAAATCGAGTATCCATTGACAAAAATAAAAACCCATATTATACTCTGTTAGTCGCAGGAATTCACAGCTCATCGATGAATCAAGTCATTTTGTAGATAAAACTTGAGTAAAAATATACATAAAAGTAATTAATGTTTATAATACACACCTAAGTACTGATACGCAGCTGCGCAAGAGTTGTTATGGTTCAACACCTTAGTAAGTAGTTCCTTTGCTGCATCCAATCTTCCGGAACTTATCTGCCCATCTGCTACTTCCAGCCAACACCTAAAAATAAAAGCATTTGATATAAGATAAAATAGGATTCACACGACTTCAAATCTAGTTAGCATAACCATTTTATCATGGTCTAGTTTCGTATCATATTTCCGTACAGCAGACGGTCAATTTATACTGGTTAAGCTTGACAATAACAACTTGATGAATTGATCTCACTTTTCCAAACCATCCGCTTTCTCAGGAGACCAAGGTATCGTAGAAATCGTCCTTTTCAATATGTTCTTCGCTCGAGTGGGTTGTTTTATTATGTTGTATCTGTAAATACGAAATTGATACTCTGTAGTTATCAGAATAAAGTAGAAATTCGGCTGGCAATTTAAAAGTTTAAGTAACACGACTTACGCATTAGCTATAGCCAAGATCAAGTATGGATCATCCTGGTAGTTGTCTTCTGTGGCGAGTGGCAGTAGATCTTGTAATACCTTCTCCGCTTGAGGTTTCTGTTTGGTGGCCAGTTGCAACATCGCTTGCAAGGACTTGCGGTCCAGCGGTGGCACTTCTCCTAAGAGTTTCTCAGCTGTTTTCAGTGCTAGTAGTCTGGTCTCCCTGATAAGACATGAAATTCCAATTATAATTACATATTTTTGTAAATCTATGCAGTTTTTCCACAAACTATCGACATTTAGTACATTTTTATTACATTTGCTTAGTATTACTGATAATTTAATTGTTATGTTTTTATAATAACTATCATGCATGAGACATGTTGAATTAACTAAAAATTACTAGTTACTCATATAAATATACTTAGAAAAGCTTTACTAGTTTCAAGTCACAAAGAAACTCTTCTTGATGACAGTAGGATAGTAGCGCGACCGCCCACGCTGTTCATGAAGAAGAGTCCCTCTGTCGAGTAACCTGTGGAACTACTGTTTAACAGATTACTCCAGAACTACTGTTTCGAATTTGAATACTCTTTTTGTGTTGAATAGTCCATTTATTGAGGAAGGCTATCAAATCCTGAGGCCTTAGTACGAGTTTCTTTTACGTTGAAAGTAATCGAAACGAGTACGCGTTCGGCGCTGTGATTGGCAGGCTTCAATGAACCAACCAATCAGAGGGCCGGATGCCGTCTCGTTTCGATTACTTTAAACGAAAAAGAAACTCGTACTAAGCCCTCCGATGTAATCAATAGCAGCGGGAGAATCTAGGGAAAATACATATAAAAGTGTGAAAGTGAATACTGACGAGTGTAGCGGCGCGGCGAGTGCGTTGTCGTGCAGCGAGTGCGGCGCGTGGTGCGCCAGACACAGCAGCACCATGCGGCGCGCGGCCCGCCCGCCCCACCGCGCCGCGCGACGCGCCGCGTTCAACTGACGCAGCGACGCGTTCGCGCGACCCGAGTACGCGTTGCACACACCCGCGCAATACCAGTACCCTGGTTTACAATAAACTCCAATAAAAACCTTTTTAATTATTATTATTTATTTGGGTACTAGCTTTTACCCGCGGCTTCGCTCGCGTCACAAAATAATAAAAAGTAGCCTATGTGACATATACCAATACACACAGCGCCATCTATACCAATACTTTTGTTTTTCCTCGGGAATATCAATTTTTCCGGGTTAAAAAGTATATTATTTAATTCGGACTTCTAACTTTACGTCTGCAAAAATTCAAAGCAATCCGTGGAGTAGTTACGGCGTGAAGGTGGAACAAACAAACAAATAAACTCACTTTCAGATTTATAATATTAGTAAGGATAAGGAAGGACTATGGAACGCCAATTACTACGATTCTTACATACATCTATCGCTTCATCAACAGTCATCAATCTTTTCAAGCATGCACCTCAGTTAAGGGTACTTCTAATTTGGCCCTTCTTTAACCCTTAGAGCGCCACGTCAGTCACCGGTGCCTGACGCTAGTGGAGGTTTGACTTTCACCATTTTAAACTTGGCAGTTAAAGTATTAATATATCGCCAATCTGGTCACTAGATGCGTCTAGCGCGCCCTCTACCGACGGCCCCATTCATATCCGCTCTGTATACTTCTTTCGTTACTCTACTTTCATCCATTCTTTCTACATGTCCCAACCGTGGATACAAAGTCATAATGGTAAAATCAATTGATCTCAATTACTTACAATTCACAAGAATTCATATATTCATTTTTGTATACTTTGTATATTTTCCAAGTAAAATATTTACTTACCAGGATCCTCTTGTTCTCCCAAAGCTGACTTAGCAGCCTCCAATGCCTGTTCAGCTTCAGACAGTCTTCCACGTCGCCACTGTACTTCTATCAGCTGCGCTAGAGCTTCCCAGCTCATTGGTTGCACCGATAGGATCTGATTCAAGTGCCGCTGGGCCGCTTCTAAGTCCACCTAGAAATAAAGATCAATAATTACTTTGTTTTCTTGTTTCTAAGGCAAAAAGGAGTAACGCCAATAAGTATTTATTCGACAAACTACAAAAACAACACCAGAACTGAAAATTAACGGTTCTCAACAAAATCTCATCTCTTCTTGCCAGAACCTCTATACAATAAGTGTCAAAAAATAATGTTAACTTCTAAATCCACGATGACGAAATATCCTCGAAATTGATTCATACAAAAGTAGTCCCTACAGATTTAGACTGAGATTGGTTATTCATTTCAGCCGTAAAAGTTACTCAACTAAGCTCAAAAAGTATCTAAAAAAATTAAAAATAAGAGGGAGAATGGAAGAGAAACATAACAACATACCTTTCTAAATGCAAGATCCGCCATCATAACAGCCGCTGACTCGTTGTTAGGATCAGTGTTCAAAAGAACAGCACAAGTCTGCTCACATTTCTCGGCGTTATTGATCTGAAAGTATAATTAACTTTAAGTCACATTTATACCAAGAAGGCACCCAGCCTATTCGGCAGTTTTAGTATGAAAATGTATCAAATTAATATTTCTAATTATTTTAACATCTATGACCAATTTGATCAGGATAGGAATATTAAGCTGTAGCCACAATACCTTTCAATATTGTAGATATTTTCATAAATGAAACTAAAAAAAGATAAATAAGTATTTGTAACTCACATTAGCATACAATTTAGCCAACGCCAACAGCGTGTTAGGATCCCTAGGAGCATGAACCAGCGCTTCAGAGTACAAATTAGCTGCCACCGCCGGTTCCTTCAAAGACTTAGCTTTGGCCAAAGCACAAAGGATATCAGACAACTGCTGCTTCTCTTCTTGAACATCTCCTCTCGAGTCAATCTCTATTCTCTTCACTAATGTCGTCTGTAAATCTTTTGCTTCAGCTAGCAAAAGGTTCACGTTAGCAGAAGTCGGGTTTTTTAGCTCCCGACCTTTAGCTTGCATTAGTAGCAATCGCACTCGACGCTTTAATTGGTTAATATCTTTGTCTCTGTTGTACATCTGATTCAGTTCTGATGATATTGAAGATTCCACTTTGTCATATTGTTTGAGCTGTAAAAAATATGTCAGTAGTTGTTACGATTTATAGTTTAATGTACTTAAAGTGAAAGTTAATGTACAAATTACTCAAACACTACTAAATTTTAAGTCATGCTTAAGTAATAGTACTGTCGCTACAAATGAGTAAAATAACAGAGATGGCACGATTTTAGAGTACAATTTAAAAATGAGTAAGTATTTCTGCCTTTGAGTAAGTTGCCTTGAGTAAGTATTTAGCCTTTCAGTATTCGGGCGTATGTGTTGTGTAAAGAAATGTAGATTGAAGTCATACTAAAATTAAAGAACAATTTCAAAGATGTTTCAGAATCTCGTGTAGTGTCTTATTAGATTATGCAGGTGTTAAAATAATAGCTTTGGGCCTTATATAAAATGTTCATC